TGGTGTATCAATCATTTTCCAAATTTTAAACATCCTTAACAAGAGGTATAAGATTTTGTTTTCTGACATTGGCTTTCATGTCATTCCTAGATTGGAGAAACTATCATTAACAAGTGATGACATTGCAATGATATGTACTCGCCAATTTCCAGAAGACCTCTTCTCCAATATTAAAGGTCTTTGTGTTCTCTGCTACCACAATGAATCGAAGGTTTTTCCATTCTTCTTCATTGAAAGATTCTTCAATTTAGAAAAGCTTTTTATAGGTTGTTCTCATTTCAAGGAGTTGTTCCCTTCTATAGCATCCATTGATTGTCAGGAGAAAGATGGAAGATGGCATTTCCGTTTAGAAAGTTGAAGCTGGATACTCATCCTGATCTGAAGTATATATGGAGTCAAGGCTCAGCTTCAGACCTACTTGCTCAAAATGTTGAATCTCTTGAAGTGCTGGGATGTGATAATTCGATTAGCTTATCAGAATCTACGCCATCTTTCCAAAATCTTACCACTTTGTTGGTAGAAAGATGTCAAGGGTTAAGAAACTTATTTTCATTTGCAACAGCCCAAAGTCTGGTGCATTTCCAAAGAATCACTGTAGAAAATTGCCACTCTCTGACAGAAATAGTTGGAGGTGAAGGAGATGGATTATATTTAGAAGATGTGATTGTTTTCAGCAAATTAAAAGTTTTGAAACTCAAGTGCTTAACAAGACTTGCAAGCTTCTGTTCTGCAAATTTCACATTCAAGTTCCCATTGTTGGAAGAAGTAATGGTGGCTCATCAATGTGCCAACTTTGAGACCTTCTGTCACGGAGTCGGGAGGACTCCCAGCCTGCAGAGAATACAATTAACACAAGAAGATGATGTAGGGCGTCCAGCGGTTGAGCTGAATGACACCATAAATCAATTTTACAAAGAAAAGGTATGAATTGAGCCATAAATTTCCCCTATTTGTTATTGCAATTTTTGCAGTTATTCCATTCATCAAATGCAAGGAGTAAGCTATTGCTTCTTCTTCTTCTTCTTCTTCTTCTTCTTCTTCTTTTTTCTATTAATTTACTTGGATATATTCTTATGTTAATAACCAAAGTATGTACTTGGCAGGTTGGTTTCTCTGGGTTACAGTATTTGAAGCTCTCCGATTTTATTTCCTCAGTTGGTGGAAATATGGAACAAGAATCCTCAATAGATCTTGGATTTCAAACAGCCTTGTGTCCTTGAAATTTGTAATTGTAGTGATTTGAAATATCTCTTAACACCTTCCATGGCCTTGAGCCTCGTTTCCCTCACAGAGATGAAAGTAAAAAACAGTGAAATAATGGAGCAAATCATCACAGAAGAGGAAGCTACGGAGGCAAATGAAAAAGGGATAATATTCCCACTGATAGAAACCATTAACTTGAAGTCTTGTCCCAACTTGACAAGTTTTTGTGTGGGAAATTATAAACTTGAGTGTCCATCACTGTCAAGGATGAAATTACTTAACGGTCCAAAGATGGTTACATTTGCCTCAACATTTTCAAAGGTGCAAGTGAAAGGAGCAGAAGGAGGAAGTGCAGAAAGCATTAGAAAGGAGGCCATTGATATCCCTATTGCATCCTTTTTCAGTGACCAGGTCTGTTTCTTCACCTAGAATTGTTGGTTTCACATTTTCTCGACTTTTGATCCACTTGTGCAGCCTAGATTATATTATTCTACTTCTACTACCTGCATAAATATTCTTATGTGTTGGGAATTTTGAGCACTACAATCCCACACAAACGGAAGCAATAAAGAAATTGAGATAACAATTTAACGTGGTTCGACTTGTACACTTTTCAACAAGTCTACGTTCATGGGAAAGAGAGAAATAAATCCACTATTAAGAAAAAGAGTATAATAATTTAGAAGCTCTCTCTCACTCAAGAAGCACTCAACACCCTAGCTTCAATGTATAGAAGCTTTCAAATTCTCCCTAATACTCCCTCTTAATCTACACAAGGATTTCTCACAATTTCTCTCTTTCTTTTCTCTCACAAGAGCTCTCCCTCAATTTCTCTTGCTTTCTCCCACTCTTGCTTTCTCCCACTCTTGCTTGCCCATTGCCTTTGCATGCATGGGTATTTATAGTGAAAAATCCAACCACCCATGCACCATTTTTCTTTGCCTCATTACTACCTGTCCATGATTTTCTTTGTTCATTAAATGGCTTTACATGCAATCTTGCATGATTTCAACAAAGCAATCCTAACCCACAACTAGCTAGGTTAGTGAAGTAAACTTCCACATGGAAAGTCCATGTGTTCATACATGGGGTTGGACTTTCTTCTAACATTATGGTTAACCAAACACATCTATGCAGTATTCATTTATGACATGACTAAAACTAATAAGTGAATGCTAATATTCCATTTATGACATGACAAATTATTAGTTTTTAGTAGTTATAAAGTTTATTAAAACTAAAATTAAAAACTAATTATCATGACCATACTAAACAAAACCTAAATTATCCAATGGATTGTAACTCTTAGCCCATCGGTGCATTGACCAAAGGCAAGTCCCATTCTAGGATAGTTCTTTTGCATAAAATAGAACGCTGTAGCCCCAACAAAAATGACATCTTAGTGGTCTCGGCATGGTTGAGATGGATAATAATTATAACAAATTCATTTGGAAATATAATTTTTCTAACTTAACATAAATTATTTCTTATACGTTGTACTATCTTTACCCAATAAATTACATATGATATAAAAGATTAATTTAAAATTATAATTTTGTATTAATACTATTATATTTAATAATTAAGAGAAAGGGTGTACATATGAATGATGCAAAACATGACTTAAGACCTAGTTATGTTACAATTATGTGTGTTTACATACATATATATACATATTAGAATAGTACAGAGAGTGGCCAACAACCTTAATAGTTCAGTGGTAATCTTTTTCTTATAAAAGTAAGAGGTCATAAGTTCAAGTGGTATGGTATGCAAGTAGGGTGGAGTTATGGGATAGGGAAGGGTTGCTTTTCATTGTACAATCCAAGATAAAAAAAAAAAAATAGTACATAGAGTCCCAATTTAAACAATGTCTTTCATTTAATTAAAACCTATTGGAAATTGATTACATTCTAAATATAAAAAGTCAAAAATCTATCTTATTAAATAGTGCATATCGGTTTAACATTTTTTTTTTTTTGAACATTTTGGCAAGGGGTGGGTTCGAAACCTGCCCAGGGGGAGGGGGGAGTACACCGGCTGACTAGCTAATGCCAGTGGGCCTCTAGGGCAGGTGCGGTTTAACATTTAATATGGTGAATTTTTGAATTTTTAATTGAGTTTTAATTAAAGGAAATGAGTTGTTTAAGGTTGGGACTCTAATTTTTTTATGGAAGTTAGGTTTAATATGTATTATTTGCAATACATATATAGTTAGATTCACTGACACACAATTTACACATATATCACTTAACTTTTTATCCTATTTTTTAAAGAAAATTGTCTTTTTCATTTAAAAGAGGCAAATGGTTAAGTTTTTGTTTAAGTGATGTAAGTAAGAGTTGTGTGTAAGGTGGTCTTGGAAAATTAGAGATGTATGCATATTTGTTATTTGAAATTAATTTTCATTCCATTGCTTTGGAATCATTGTGATTCATGGTTTTATTACTTTCTATTAAAGAATACAAATTTGTTCATGAAGCTAGAACTGCACTTTTCAGGTTGAGTTTTCTAGCTTTTTGGCATTAATGCTTTCATCGATGAATATGTGACAAATATTGCAAAAACAACTTTTAACAATGTCTTCAGTTGTTCATAGTATAAAACATCTGCTTTTGAAGAGATGTGGCAATTTGAAATATCTGTTTACATCCTCAATGGTTAAAAGTCTTGTGCAACTCCAATTGCTTGAGATTTGTGATTGTGTGGTGATGAAAGAGTTAATAGTAAATGAAGGATTAGCAGGGGAGGAAAGTTTGTTGTTAACTAGGCTTGAAACCCTAACTCTTGAAGGCCTTCCCAAACTCACAAGATTCTGCTGTGGAAATTACTTTGAGTTTCCCTTCTTGAGATGCCTTCATATAATCAAGTGCCCTTTGTTGGAGACGTTCATCTCCAGTTCTAATGTTGGGGAAACAAGTCACATGACAGAAAGTAAAATAGTAGAAAGTACTTTTACATCACCGCTCTTTGATGCAAAGGTAAAATTTTTTGCTCTTTTTCCCTTTACTTTTCATTTTTCATGTCTTAAAATATTTCCTTCTAATTTCATATTATATTTTATTTCTAGGTGGGATTCCCCAGATTGAAGCACCTTGTACTCAAAGATATGGAAAGCTTGAACTTGATATGGGACAACCAACTTGATGCAGAGAGCTTCCACAAACTAGATCAGCTTTTGGTGGAATCTTGTGAAGAATTGTCGAATATTTTTTCAGTTATTATGCTTGGAAGACTTCAAAACCTAGACAAACTGAAGATAGAAAATTGTGTTTCACTAGAAAAAATAGTTGAACCTCAAGGGTTGAATGCTAGTGAAACACAAGCTTTGAAAATTGGTCAATCAAATTCGTTCGGAGGAACCCCTAATTTCCTATTTCCAAAAGTAACACGCTTGCTACTTAAAGAGCTACCCAGTCTCAAGAGCATCTACCCTGGAATTTATTTTACAAAATGGTCGTCATTGAAAGAATTGGTGGTATTTGGCTGTAATCAAGTGCAGATACTTGCTTCAGAACTTCTAAGTTATCAGAGAACATGCAGAGAGAACCAACTTGAAAATCATAATCAGTGCCCTCTATTCTTGATCAACAAGGTATGAGCTCTAAATAATGGACAAAAAACAATGTGGATGTGCTAATGCATTACAGCTTTCATGTAAGCTCTTTCTTGCCTAAACTTATTTTTTAGTCTACAGATAATAGTTTGGTCTTAAAATTCATCAATTAATTATATTTAATATCTTTATCTTTTAGTCTTTCAAATGTTTTTGTGTGTTTGTGGATGTTGTTTGTGGAATATTGAGTTGGAGTACCCCTTGTGCTCTTAATAATATTTTTTTTAATTTGGCTGTATGAAAAAAGGGCAGAGGATTTTGATCATCTACCCTTTTCATACTCCTTGGTTTGAAAATTTTCAAATCATATGTTAATTTCTAGGCTACCTTCCCCAGTCTAGAAGAACTAATATATAGTGGAGAGGAATAAGAGCATGAAGGAGATATGGCATGGTGATGATGTGAAGGATGGCATTGTTTTCACCAAACTTGTGTCTCTGCAACTTAAAGTTCTTCCAAAACTAGAAAGCTCCTGCTCAGGAAATTGCAACTTTGAATTTCCATCTTTGGCAGATGTAATCGTGATGGAGTGTCCAAGTATATGGACTTTCTCTAAGGGAGAAGTGAGTACACCAGAATTGTAGAAAGTGAAATTGACAGAAAATTCAACAGATGAAGGAATTTGGTAGGAATGTAGCCTTAACCCCACACTACAATAGTTGTTCACAAAAAAGGTATCCTCTATTTCTTTTGCTCTATGCTTTCTTTCCATCTCCTTAATTGTCCCGTTAAAAGAGACGATCAAATTAAATTTGGGGAAAGATTGTGGTAAACTTAATAGATTATTTGTAGTTATATTATATGCGTTAACTAGCCTTCTAAACCAAAATGTGCTGATTATGTTTGCAGAGTGGTGATGACGTTGAAGAAGACTGGTTTGATGCTTTGCATAAATTGTTCGATTAGGATGATGTTTTCGAGGAGAGTGGATTCTCTGATGCCATCAACTTGTCTGATATATTAGATACATCTTTTATACAAGTTGCTATATATATATATCCATTGATGATACTTTTTTCCTTAAATTACACGACCTACAGAGCATTAAATGACCCCCAACGACTAGTAACTGCTATTTTCGACCATGGGATTATAAATATGGTTGGTACAAGATTTGGAACAAGTTTAGAAAGCATTGCATTGAATATCTTTATCTACCTACATGTGCTTTAACTTGAGTTTTTGATCTTTGAGAGGTCTTTACCTATAATCCTCTTATTGTTCTATTTGTGAGTGATTTTAGGGGTGTGATTAATCCTTTAAGAGTGATCTATAGAGAAGATTCTTGGGGTTTATATTGTAAAGGGGTGAGATTTGAGAGAAACACTCTTCTTCTTGTAAAAGGCTTGAGTAGCTCCTTTAAGCCACCCTTAATTTTGTTAGTGGAGAGTGTAAAGGAAATCCTTGATGAGTGAAGCCAAAATAAAAGATTATGTTCTAAATGGTTGGACTGAATCTCTATAAAAT